ACATCATTTTTTATAAAAAAATGCTAAAAAAAATTCCTTATAAAATATAAGGAAATGTGATACAGAATTTTAAAAAATATATACAAAACTTATTTATAATAATGAAAAAACGTATGCAAATTTTTTATAAGGCGATCATGTCATCTGAGCTTGAAGTATTGAGACAGCATATCGTTGAGCTGATTGAGGCTGAGAATCCTGATATTTCTGAAGTTAAGAAGAAATTTACTGAACTTGAGGCCGTGATCAGTAAAGTTGAGGTCGAGAACGTGAAACTGAAACAGATTATTGAGGATAATATCAGGCGTGATGCTAAAAATGCTAGGTGTGATGTTGAGATTGCTGAGCTTAAGGCTGAAGTAGAGGAACTAAGGAATGATAATATGGAGGTCAAACGGCAAAGCCAGGATATTGGAGATTCTTCTCTCAAGAAAGAATTAGCAAAGGTGGGGACTGTTGATGTATCTAACTATATGGCAGTTCAGCTCGAGCATCACAAATCTGACTGCGAAGCAAGTGATGTAGTATCAGAGGTAATGATACCTGCAAACCTTCACTTTGTGAAGACGATAGAAAGACCGATGAATTCTTAGACTCAATGCAAAAGAAAAGTGTCAGTGATAAGATAAGGCAACGCAATAAGAAGAAGAAACTTCTGCATGAGGCAATTGTTCAAGAATCACCTTCGACTTTCCAGATTTCTATCTCTACTCCTTATCAATTGAATAATACTGAGATTTTGACTTCATTTGGTTTGCATAAGCAAAAAAACGAGCAGGGCTTGATTCAGAAAATTAAATCATTCAAGGAAGAAAAAATACTGGAGCTATCAAATCATGTTACTTTAACAATTTAATCTATTTCAGACATATTCCAGCTCCCGCCAGATCGAGAGAGGAGTGTAGATATTATTAGTCTTTACAAAGACGCATGCGATGCTGAAGATGATGCAATCAAAGCTAATAGAAAAGAAATACTGTATTGGTGTCTTTTTTCTAGGGAATTCAAAAGCATTTATAGAGATTTTATGATCAATGATGAAGTTAAGGAGAAGAAAGTGAAAGGACTTGTATACAATTTTATTATCAAGAAACTTCTAGACACTAAGCATAAAACCTTATGTAAGTAGACACAAAGAGCTTTAAAAATTGATAATTTATTCGAAAAAATAGGAATGGACAAGATTCAATACATAAAAATCTATAGTACAGATACTATTTTAAAATTTTCTAATTCTCAGATTTAAACGATTATAGATCACTTCACCAAAAAACCAAATATAGAATTCACTGATGATTCCAAGGATGAAGAACAAGATAATGATTAGAATAATGTAATAGAGGTACAAGTGAATCTCTTAGACTCAGCTAAGGTAAGCATCTCAACTACATCTATTAATTTAACATACGTCTCTGCAAAGCGCCTTAACGGCAATTCTTCAGATAGTTCCTTTAAAATCAGTCCAGTAGCTGTGAGTACATCATCGGTATCTCAGGTAATATCATCTAAGAAGTCCAGGCTTCTGATTTCTATCTTGCCTGAAGATCCTGAAGAGAAATAAAAACATATCATTAGGTTGGTATTAGAGCAGTTTCCATCTTTATCTTTGAGAGATAGTAGTGAATATTGTGAGTGGTTTAATCTTAATAACTCAACACTCTGTCCAATATATAAGGGAGACATAAAGAAGAAAGTTTATGGAGTGATATAAAAGGTGAGTGGGATATAGGTGAATATTACAGCGAACAAACTTATTGTATCAAATGCCCTTCTTAATCGTGGAATTCCAATAGTATCTGTAAAAGCATAAAGGACGGAAGATAAGCCAACAATGTTTAGTGAAAATTTTTTTGAAGTTGATGTATAGAAATAATCAGAAAACTTTTCTCCTAAAGATCTTTAATTGAAGGAGAGATTACTATATTTATCTCAGAAGCTTTCATGTTTTATAACGATCGTAGCCTTAACTAGAAGTATAGTAGTCTTTTTTTGTGACATATATTTGAAAAGGGTCATAACATAAAGATAAGGTAAGATAGTCTTTTTATCTGCTATAGCAAAAATCGAACAATACAAACTAATTGGTATTATACATATCTTTCATTATTAATCCTGATTTATTCGTGATCTTCATTCCGTGATATACATTTCTGAGATGCTCATTTCTGAGACGTTCATTTCTGAGATAAATTTTCTCAGAGTAAGGCTAATTTCGTTTTAGTCTTGATATATGAAAAAATATTTATGTAGGGATAAAAGTGTGAGAAATCTTCTTTATGATTTAACAGTATGACTAGCGAATTACCAGTAAGTCCTTTAGAAATTCATGCAGATGATACAGAGGTTTTTCAACTTAAAGCAATTTCATTAAATTTCCTAAAAAATACTTCTGAAATAACTAATGAATATACCCTGAAACTTAATCTTTGCTACTTCTGTGATAAAGAAATTCTTGCCTTACCACTTCATTCATTCACAGTATTATCATGTGAATATATATACCATTGAATATGTCTTAAAAAATATATTGTACAGTTTTCCTTTATGCCCTATTTCTAGTTGTATATCACTATCAAACTTATTAGAAGGGAACTTGCACTAGCTTCTGGTGAGTATCATATGATGTCTAAGAATAAGGATTTCAGAAAAAAAGATTCCTTAAGTGATAATACTATAGAAGACGAAGATTCTCTTACAGGTCAGAGGGAAAGAGAACTGAAGTTACTATGCATGATCAAGAGATAAGTCCAATTACGTATGTGGAAGAGATACCAAAGCTATCAAATATCATTAATAATGCTGAAAATGATGATAATAGGAATAACAATTATAGTTCTCAAATAAGATAGGTAATGCGGTGAAAATGGAATATGTAGTAATCACACTTATCTTTCATTCTATTTATTCCCTGAAATCTATGATTGAAAAATGGATAATTTAACTAATCAAACAACTGAAGATGACATTGCTAATACACAAATCCGATCATCAAGAGAAACATCCTCAAGAACTAATTGTGAACAGGAAAGATTTCAAGGGTTGTTACATGAATTATCTACACTTATTAAAGGGAGACTACCAAAACCAATGATGAGGATGAAGGTTCTGAGGGTTCAATCTCGCAGAATTTAGCTCGATTATTCCAAAAAGCAATTAAGGCCAAAAAGCGTGTAACTCAAGCTTATCAAGAGGAAATTCACTGTTAGTACTACTATGCTAAACAGTTTAAAAAAAGTGTTAAGGATGTTAAAGATAATGATAAGAGGGTTAAAAATTAACAGGCTAGGACCTAGGTATATAATGCAATTTTAAAACATCTTTCAAACATTATAAGAGAAAATTTACATAAGAAGACACAGAAGGCAAGAAATATTTTTAAATTATTTAGTAAAATAGGAATTAAAAAAGTCAAGAGGGTTCAATCCTATAGTGCGAAAAATATTTCAAAGCTTACAGATACTCAAATCAAAAATATTATAGCTCATTTTGCTCAGAAATCATAAATTCTTTACAGATCGCGTGAACTATAGTTCATGCCATGTGACCACTGCGCCACATATTGAAAATATTTTTTTAGTTTATCTTTGCTATTTCTTATGATTAATAAATAAAGTTAGTTTGCGAGTCGTTTTAACCAATGTATGC